GTAAGGGTTCTGAAGTGATTCATTCAGAAAAATACTTCTCTGGTAAAGGATAAAATCCATGGAACAGCCAGCAGGAGAACTGGTGATGGCTCACCTATCAGGGCATAAGGAACACTTCACCATCAGAGAGCAGATCTGGCCGTGACTTCAGCAGAGGAAGGTGAAGGAGCTCCCTGAGGCACCTCCCCTGACAGCACTCCACTGCCCACACAAAGCCCCACCACACCTCCATCGCTGCTCCTGCAGCCCTCCGAGCTCCCATTTCAGGTGGGAGTTTGGCTTCTGCCTTCCACAGCTGTCAGGGAAAGCATGCGAGGAGTTCCTAGAGCAGGAGGAGAGGAGCAGACGCTCCCACATGGCTCTGTGGGGTGGTGCCCATCCTGCTCCACACAGAGCTCCCTCCAACTCCCACAGCTTCAGTGGAATTCTCACTCTGAACCCTCGAGGGCTGGAAGCACTGCCTGCTAATTAGCAGCTATTCACAGGCAGGATGCCAAGTGACAGAAATGAGAGCCCACTGACACCACTGTGACCACACACTCTGTGAAACAGGAAGCAAAAATGAAGAACTCTGTATGTATTTCCCTGCATTGTTCCCTCCAGAAAAAAAAGCCACAAAAAAAAAAAAAACATCAATCAGAACCATTTTCATCACAAAAAGACAAGAGTGCTCCTGAACATCTGCAGTGCTGAGGAGGCACAAGTGAATTCAAGCATCTGTAAGGTGACTCATTTGCATGGGATTGATTTTCAACAGGTTCTAGATTACAGAAGAAACGTTTGGACAGGCTGAATAAGCAAGCAGGGCTGTCAGCACAGGACAAAGGGAGCTTTCTGTTATCTCCAGCATCACGCACAACTAAATATTTCCCTTTCTAATAATCCACAGCTAAAAGACAGGGCTGGCAAACCATTAAGCTCTTTCTCCCCGGCAGCGAAACAATCCCCAAACAACGCTGTTAGATAACAAAGTCTGACTCCAGCATTGTCTTCTGAGAACAGACCGACTATTTTTCCCACCATATCTTTATCACAATGGTCCATACAAGATTAATTCAGTTTTTACCAAAGAAACGCAACCCTCCTCCTCTCATAGAATCACAGAACGGCCTGGGTTGCAAAGGATCCCAACGCTCATCCAGTTCCAACCCCCTGCTGTGTGCAGGGTTGCCAACCAGCAGCCCAGGCTGCCCAGAGCCACATCCAGCCTGGATCCTCTCCTCATTCATCACTGCTCTCTCACATCAGCTGTAACTCACTGTTTAATGGGCAGGAGCCTCAGAATTCCACGCTCTTCCCAAGGGAATCCAGTTCCTCAGAAAAGGCAGCAGCCATCCCGAAACATCAGCGCTGTGCAGACACCTGAGGACACAAAGCACATCCTGAAGTCATCGCCTCCATGCTCTGATCCTCCACTCCTTTTTGGAATTTGGGCTGAGAAATAACATCTGACAGACTGCGCAGCTGAGGGCTGTGCTGCACAACTTCCCTGTGTCCCTTAAAACCCCATTTCAATGCACCATCCCAGGGCAGGGCAGCAAGATGGGAAGAGCACAGCAGCCCCAGTGCAACAGGGGGTGGGAAGGGCTGAACCCCAAGGCTGCCCAAGGAGGCTGTGGATGCCCCATCCCTGCAGGCATCCAAGGCCAGGCTGGATGTGGCTCTGGGCAGCCTGGGCTGCTGGTTGGCGACCTGCACACAGCAGGGGGTTGGGACTGGATGAGCACTGTGGTGCTTTGCAACCCAGGCCATTCTGTGATCTGATGTCACTCCCTCCCCACTCTATTAAGCTGCACTACAGACAGGTGAGTACTTCTGCTCATCAACCTGTACCTACTGTACTGTTCAATACCTTTACTTGTGAAAGAAGATTAAAATGACTTCTCCAAGCACAGTTACAAGAACTTTAAGAACTGACATGCCTAGCAATCCACTGAATACACCAACAGCAAGCAACCACAGCTCTCTGCAGAGAACACTTGTCAAATTTCACTCAGCACTCAGACTCTGGCACTTCAAACACTCCTGAGAGGAAAAAAAAGAAAAACCACTATGGATTCTCTGCTCTTTTGTGCCATTTGTATGTTTAATTCTCATCTGGAGAGGCAAACAGCACAGCACCACTGTCAGTGGGCACAGAGCTGTCCTGGTGGCAGCCTGGCCTCTGCCTTGCATAGGTAACCCAGGGTGTTTCACACCTGTATGTGAAACTATTGCTGTTACAGCAGCAAAGAGCTCATGGCACAGCTGAAAGGAAGCTTCCCTTTCTGCAGGGAGGCTCTGAGAAAAGAGCTGAGGGTTATTTTGGTGTTAAGGCCACAGCTCTGTCCTGGCTGTAGGACCCACACACCAACACCTGTCTGAGGATGCAGACTGCTCAGCTTCAGCCCAACCTCAGGAATCACAGAATGGCCAGGGTTGCAAAGCACCACAATGCTCACCCAGTTCCAACCCCCTGCTGTGTGCAGGTCACCAACCAGCAGCCCAGGCTGCCCAGAGCCACATCCAGCCTGGCTTTGAATGCCTGCAGGGATGGGGCATCCACAGCCTCCTTGGGCAACCTGTTCCAGTGCCTCACCACCCTCTGGCTGAAAAACTTCCTCCTCATATCCAACCCAAACCTCCCCTTGTCTCACTTTAAGACCATTCCCCCTTGTCCTATCACTGTAAACCCTTGTACACAGCCATTCCCCCTCCTCTTTATACACTCCCTTCAAGTACTGAAGGCCACAATGAGGTCACCCCAGAACCTTCTCTTCTCCAAGCTAAACCATCCCAGTTCCCTCAACCTTTCCTCATAGGAGAGCTGCTCCAGCCCCCTGATCATCTTTGTGGCTCATCCATACCCGCTCCAAGAGCTCTGTGCCTTTCCTGTATTGGAGGCCCCAGGCCTGGACGCAGACGGGGCCTCACCAGAGCCGAGCAGAGGGGGACAGTCAGCTCCCTCTCCCTGCTGGCCACCCTTTTAACGCAGCCCAGAACACAGCCGGCCTGCTGAGCTGCAAGCGCACGCTGCTGCCTCATATCCAGCTTCTGTTCCACCAGGACCCCAGGTCCTTCTCTCAGGGCTGCTCTCAGGACGTTGTTCCCGCAGCCCACAAACACCCGGCCTTAAGCACACGGTCCCGCTCCGCTCTCCCTGCACGGAGCTCCGCCACGCCGCACCGCAGCTCAGCTCAGCTCAGCCCAGCGGTGCCGGGGCGCAGCGCGCAGAGGCGAGCAGTGAGCAGCACCGCACGACGCGCTGCAGCCCCGCACGGACCTTTGTTCTCCCCCCGCTCTGCCGCCCGCCCCCTCCCCTCGGCCGCCATTTATCGCCCCTCAGCCGCACCTCCGGGCCCGCCCCGACCGCGGCGGCCCTCAACCCCTGCAATCCCCGAGAATAAAGGAGAAAAACCGCTCCGAGGGGACAAAAGGGATCAGGGGCGGCGCGGGGCCGCAGGGCCGCACGCGGTAACGGGGCGCTGCGGGAGCGGCGGCGCCTTCGTTCCGCTCCGCACCTCACGGCCTCCGCTGCTCCGCCGCGGGTCCGGCCGGCCGCTTCTCAGCACGAACCTCGGAACACCTTTCCTTCTTCTCCTTCCTTCCCGGCGCCGCACCCGCGGTTTTCCTTCCCCGTCCCGGCCGCTCCGTCCCTTTACTTTCCCCCCAATCCTCCCCTCGCGTTTTCCGCCGCGCTCCGCCCGCCCCCTCGGCGCCGTTTCCCGGCTCAAACGCGCATGCGCGACCCCCGTGGCCACGCCCCCCAGCGCGCCGGGCGGTTCTGCTTCGCTCGGCCCCGCCCCCTCCCGCATGGACACGCCCCCTGTGGGCGGGGCTGCCGGAAGCCACGTGAGAGCGCGGAAGCGGCGCGCCGGGAGCACGTGGAGCGGGGCTGCGGGAACGGAGTGCGCGGGGCTGCGGGCAGCTCTGGGGGAAAGGAACAGAGCGGATCGGGAGGGGGACCGGGAGGGGCCCCGCAGCAGCAGCAGCCTCAGGGTTTGGAGACAGATCAGGCACGGGTAGGGCAGCAGGATGATATTTGGGCTTGGCTGTGCTGCTGCCCAAGCATCCCGGGTCCCGCTGGAACCGCCGCTGCCCGGCCAAGGCCAGAGGGAGCTCAGCCGAACCCCGCCTGGTTCATCAACCGCGCTGCTTAAACACGGCCCTGGCTGACAAACAAAGAGCCACTAGCAGCAGTGACCCTGAGCACGCAGATGTTGGCTGTCCCTGCACAAGGCCGCGGTGTTCTGCCCTCGGTTGCATCCCTACTCTTGGCTTTCCCACAGCGTCAGCTCTGCAGCAAGGTCTCGCTTCTGCCATGGATGTGCCAAGTTTTGTGGCTCAGCAGAACTGCGAGATCGGCCTCCAGCTTCCACGTGCCAAGGGCAGATGTGGGGATATGGGAAGCGCTGGGTTCAGTCCTTGCTGCAAACCAGGAGCCACCATGGCTATCAGCAATCACTGCAGTCGCTTTTGCTGCGTGGCAGAACTGAGGTTTGCTGAAATAGCAGGCTGCAGCTGCTGCTAGGAAACAGCTCTCAGAGCGAAGCTGGTTCAGAAAGGCTTTGCTCCTTTGGGCACAGCACTGCTGTGACAACGGCCCAGAGCCTGGGGACACATGGCACGGCTCTGCAACACTCACAGGGCGCCTGTCCCAGGGCTGTGCTGCTCTGAGCCAGCTCCTTGCAGCCTCCAGCAGCTCCTTGCTTTGCTGCACACCTCAGTGGCACACAGGCAAAAGCCAATAGCATTTGGCTTTTCAGAAGAAAGAAAGGAGGGAAACAGAACCCTAGAGCAGGGATGCTTTGGTTTCTGTCTGAGGGGAAGCTCATCACACGGGTGCTGCTTCAATCAGACATCACTGCAGGCCATTCCAGGGGAATTTAGGCCGTGCCTGTGGTTGGTGCTGCAGCAGATAATCATACAGACCAAGCCTGAGGAGCCCTGCTGCCAAAAGAGCCTTCAGAACAGAGCCCAGGGTTCATCCCACAGCCCAACACATCTATTTCCCCACCATCATCATCATCACTGGGATGTTCCTAACAACCTGCTGCAGAAGAGTAATGGCTACATACTGCCTATATCCCTTATCTAATCAAAATGAGGGACCACGAGCCCCTAATAACACTTCTTGACAGGAACTGGTAGGTCATAAAGCATCAGTGGTTGTGCTCTGGACACACTGATAGCAATGTTGCCTGCACAAGGACAAGCTGGAGAAGTCACACACCAAAGAGACACACATGGGCACAGGGGTTTTATATTAAAGAGGGAAAGTAACAAAAAGCAAGGAACCCAAACGAGGTGGCCTCCAAGTCTTACATCAGCAAGGAGTGCAGCTATATACAGAGCTACGTATTGTTTAATTCTGTGTCAACTGGGAGTTGAGCAAATCTCTCCCATGCCAGAGCTGGAAGAAAGGTAAGAATTGCAACATGTTCCCAAGCCATCCCTGCCTCCGCCCTCTCTGTGTCATCTCTTTAAATGCCAGGGTGGAGCAGCCAAACACAACCGGAAAAGGTGAGGCATGCCCAGCCCTCAGGGCATGCCCCCTGCCTGCATGGACCTGCTCCAAGGCACATCCACGTCAGTTGGTGCTGTTCTTTGTGGCCTTGTGTGTTGGGAACAGGCTGGGATGACAAAGAGATGCAACAAGCTGTCGGCAAGCTGATGCCCTTGTCTACATGCAGTTCGAGATGCTTTTAAGCTTCCCTCTTAGGCCAGGTTGCTGCACAGCTCCTGGAAGGCACTGAGGAAACAAGCAGACTGGTTTTGCAGCATGTCTGATCTTTAGGTACCGATCTATAGGTTCCAGTACCAGTTCTCCTTGTGCTGCAGTGCTCTCACAGCTCTGTGTGGTATCACTGCATCACAGGACAGCAGCTGACAGCCCTCTAGCAAAAAAGGTGACATTCTTGTCCTGGATCTTGTATTGATAGATCTGGATGACGTCCTGCTCTGTTGACTCCAAGGACAATCTCTTAATTATTTTAATCTGCAAAAGAAAAGGAAGAGGAATGTCATCCCTTGGGATGCCACAGTCACAGCATCCTCACCCCCTGTCCCTCCATGCTGCCATTACAAAACCACTGTTACAAAGACATCACGCAGTGCCTGCAGGCAGTCTCACCCTCCTGAGCCCTCAGTGAGAGGCCAGCAGCAGCCAGCCCCCAGCAGCACAGCTGCAACCCCAGCCCAGGAGAAATGACCACAGCACAGCCAGGATCCATACACATGGTGGTTTGGGGAAGCTTCCCAAGAACCAGATATTATTCCTTTGCCACAACCTCGGTGGAGGACACAGCCTGCACTGTGGTGCTGCATAAACCTCACCCATCCTCCAGCAATGGGAAGTTTGCAGGATGTCACTGAAACATCCCCAGATAAATCCTGCAGGAGCCTGGGTGTCCTAGCAGGTCCCAGTGACTGCAGCAAAGCTGTGTTAGTCCTTAGCCATGCTGCAGATCAAGCTAATCCTGGGCTGTAGGAGTGACAGAGCATCCTGCAGGGCAGACAGAGCACGTCTCCACACAGTGTGACACTGCCACGTGCCACCTCCCAGAACTCCACCGTGCCTTACCTCCCCATGAACGTCCTTGCAGAAGCCAGTTGCCAGCCCTTCCACCCACAGAATCAGGTTGCTGTGATGACACAGGGAGGTCACCACCAGCTTGTTCTCCTCATCTTCTGAATCCTCGCTGCCATGAACCAGCACCACAATGTTCCCCTGCAACGACAACAGCTGACAGTGCTGAGCCTCTCGTTGGTTCCAACTCACTTCAGGTAAGGACAGGCAGGGAGCAACAGGAACTTGCCTAGGTGCCCTGCTAGTAAAGCCACTTAGACATCTGCCAGCATGCCAGCTGGTGCTTAACTGAAACCCACTGGGAAAATAAACATGAGGCATATATCATAGAATCACAGAACAACTTTGGTTAGAAGGGACCTTAAAGCCCATCTTTTTCCAACCCCTGCAGTGGGCTGCCCCTCCCATCTCAGGCTGCTCAAGGCCCAGCCAAGGCCTCAGGCACCTCCAGGGATGGGACACCCACACTTCTCTGGGCAGCAGTGCTATGGCCTCACTGCCCCCTGAGTAGTTTACCCCTAATATCTAATTAAATCTCGTTCTTTTAGTTTAAAGCTATTTCCCCTTTCTTATCCCTATCTGCCCATGTAAAAAGTCTCTCTCCCTTCTGTTCATAAGCTCCCTTTAAGCACTGGAAGGCCACAGTGAAGTCCCCCCTTAAGCCTTCTCTTTCCCAGGCTGAACACCCCCAGCTCCCTCAGCCTGTCTTTATAGGGGAGATGCTTCATTCCCTGGGCATCTTCGTGGCCTCCTTTGCACCCTCTCCAACAGCTCTGCATCTTTCTGGGTTGGGGTCCCTGCTCTGCACACAGATTGGGTCCCATGAGGGCAGAGCAGAGGGGGACAATCCCCTCCCTGCCCACTGCCACCCCTCTGTTGATGCAGCCCAGGACACTGTTGCCATTCTGGGCTGTGAGTGCACACTGCTGCCTTGTGTCCAGCTTTGTACCACCAGAACCCCCAAGTCCTTCTCTACAGGGCTGCTCTCTATGAGTTCTTCTCCCATCCATACTTATATTTGGGACTGCCCTGACCCAAAGATAGCACCTTGCACACACACACACACACACACACACCTGTAGTATATGCATATGTATCTAGCCTAAAAATACATGGAGCCTTTGTTACAAGACAGCTATCTAGTTAAACCTGTCTGTCAGGCCATGCAAACAGCAGCTCTCTGGATGAATTCAGAACAGCTAAATAAAGACACAGCTGAGCGGCTGCAGCCAGAGCTGTGCTTCCAAACCTTCCCAGCTCCTGAAGAGCTCCCCAGTGCAACACCACCACCATTAACCATATCCCAGGAGCCTCTGCTTCAGCACAGGCAGCTCACTATGGACTTAAAATAACATCCAATTTTCAAACAAGTAAAATGTACTTTAAAGCTTCAGAACATCTTAGACAGAAATAGAAACACGTTAGCAAAATTTACCTTTTTTTTTTTTTTTTTTTCCCCAGCTGCTTTGGTGGTAAGTAGTCCCAGCAAGCAGAACATCCCTTGTCAGCATTTACAGCTCAAACACCCCAGCAACATGTGAAGTGCAGGATAACAAAACTTGACACCATCTACTTTATTTCTCACTCAAGCAAAGAGAGAAGTGGCTAAGGTGGTGGATGCTGCAGTGTAAACAGCAAAGGATGGATGTGATTAATGATTTTTGGCTGTGATGCTTCCAGTAGCGAGCACATCGCCAGGGAGATTGTTGTAGAATTGCCACATTGTCACACGCCCTGAGAAGGCAGCTGGTGCAAAACTGCTGGAAGCAGAAAGCCACGTTCCCTCCATCCCACGAGCTGAGCAGACCTTCAGCTACGTCCCCAGCTCATCAGCCCCTTGTCACCTTAGAAATGTTTCCTCCTACATGCACACAAACACGGCTGTGAGCAGACATCTCTCAAGTGTCACAGCTTGAAAAAAGCAGTGTGTTCCACCCCAAAGCCCTGCTCTGCACAGCACCTCCTGGAAACCAGTTGCAAAGGGTACCCTGGGGACTAATGCAACTCCCCAGGAACGGCCCTGGAGTGAAGATTTGAACTTCCTGCAGAGACAAAGCCTTCTGCAATTCTATTGTGCACAGGGGAACAAAGAGAAAGCCAGGCTTTGCTTCTGTGTGCAGAGGGAGCGGTACCTTGAGCTGAGAGCACACCACCATTCTGCAGTAGTGGATGAAGTCCAGCACGTCCACTGGCGCAGCACCCAGGCTGAGCAGCACGCTGAGATCATCCACCAGCAGCACCCGGCCCTTCCAGCAGTCGCTGTCAGTGGGCGTCAGGGACGTCCGGACAAAGTCAAACAGGTCTTTGAGGTTGGAAACGCTCCCACTGGAAGGGAAAGAGGAGATCTCGAGGGCTGTGATCACCCAGATGTCCCACTGAGCATCACTGACCCAACAAAGGCAATGCCAGCCTGCAGCACCCCTACTGGCATGGCATCCCTGGTGAAGAAACTGCAAGGTTTACACTGAGTTTGCAACAGAAGCTGCTCATTTACCCCTGTATAGCCCTGTCCATGACCATGGTAGGGTCACTACATTAACTAATCAACAAATAAATCAAGATCTTAGAATTGTCAGGGTAAGAATAGATGAGAAATGAGTGTTGAAATGCTTGAGTAGAGATTTTTGCTATTAGATAAGAGTAGGTGCACGTGTCTTTTCAGAGAATTAAGGTAAAGAATTAAGATTACCTGAGGCATGACGAACGAGGACAATATGTTATGGAAGGAACCGAAAGAGACGATGAGCACATTGTTATCCCCCCCTTTTTTGTTATGTAGTCACCCCTGAAAAAGTGTATAAATACCCTGTGTGTATGTTGGGTCTGTGAACACTTACTAGAAGTGACCCGACCCTGCTGTTGTAGCAGAGTCTGATCTAATAAAGCTCCATGATGAACAACTGAGTTCGAGTCTCACTACAATCCTGTCTCTGAGTTTGAGTCTCACTACAAGACTGTCTCTAACAATCCCTCACGTCACAAAATCACAGAATGGTTGGGCTGGAAGGGACCTGAAAGACCATCTGTTTTCAAACCCTGCTTATAGACTGCTTGCCCCCAGCCAGGCCGCCCAGGGTCCCATCCAGCCTTGCCTTGAGTGCTGCCAGGAATGGGGGCACCCACTCTGTGCCAGGGCCTCACTGCCCTCTGGTTAAAGAACCTCTCCTAATACCTAACCTAGATCTCCCAGATCCAGAGGTTACCTGCAGTCAATGCTCCTCGCTTGCATGTGCATAGGGAAATCCTCAGACCTTGCTCAAGGGATATGCCATGCAGCAGCAACACCCACAAACCACATCCCAAAAGTTATGGGATCCCACAGCACAGGGCCTTACAAGGTTTCACTGCCTGCCCTGAGCCTGTCCTCTAGCATGCTCCCCCTGAGGTGGTTACCTTTCAGGTGCATTTTGCTGCCCCACACGCTGACCCCACAGCACTTTCCACATGCCCACCATCCCACAGCAGGGAGTCCCTCTGCCTGACAGGGCACCAAGTTCGTTGCTCTTGCTTTGTGTGTGTGCTGCTGTTCCTTCATGACAGGAGGGAGTGACTTCTCTCCTCCATGCAAGGTTTGATACACTTTTATCAAGTTGTCAGGAACATGGAAAAGTGAAGTGGGCACAAAAATGAAACCAACATGGCTAGATCAGCACTGTGCTCTAACAGCTTGGATGGAGTTTTATTTGAGACAAGCCTGTTGAGAGCTGGAATAAATTTTCTGTAGCTTTGTAACACACTAAGCAATGAGGATAGGGCTAGAAATTGCTCGAAAATGCTGAAGAGGACAGAACCCCTCCCTGAGCAGCAGAGAGGGGCAGGGAAGGACAAGCACAGCAACATGTGTGGTTTTGGTATTTCCCTTATCAAGTGCAGTGCACACCTGCTGAGCCCTTGGGCCCTGCAGGGAAGCTGAAAAGGGGCCTGACCTCAGTTCATGCTATTCTCTGTGTTGGGTGTAGAGGCAGGAGACGTGAGAACCCAGAGGTGAAATGCTCAGCATGCTCAGCCAAAGCAGAACAACCTCTGCCACCTCCAGCTGGATGGGTTTACCTTATAAACTGAAGAGGATTGGGCTGTCCTGACCGCTCCTCCTCCCCAAACACAAGGTCAAGGCAGGACTTGAGGCCTTCCAAAAAGACAAGCTGTCCCTGTTCCTTGGCAGCTGTTAGACTGACCCCCTAGAGAGAGGAAAACATCATGTTGCAGAGCAAACTGCTTTGGAGGAAGGGTGCAAACAGAACCAAGCGGATCAACAGACTATTTTTATATCAAGTCCCATCAAAATGTGCTAATAAAGTCACTGCCTGAATGACTCCTGCACAGTGGCTGTAAAAGGAGGAGAAAAAACTGAGACGGGAGGTTTCGGTTGAATATTAGGAGGAAGTTTTTCAGCCAGAGGGTGGTGAGGCACTGGAACAGGTTGCCCAAGGAGGTTGTGGATGCCCCATCCCTGCAGGCATCCAAGGCCAGGCTGGATGTGGCTCTGGGCAGCCTGGGCTGCTGGTTGGCGACCTGCACACAGCAGGGGGTTGGAACTGGATGAGCACTGTGGGCCTTTGCAACCCAGGCCATTCTATGATTCTATGAAAAACAAGCACTGGGGTTTGGGCTGCTCAAATGAACTGGAATCACTCCTGGGAAGACAGCAGCATCACTGCTGCCCAGCATGAGAGAATAATTCTTACTCAGAGTCAGGGAGAATATAGGCATGGGGTATTAGCAGGGAGCAATTTCTTCATCTTCCTTTCTTGGCAGGTGAAAGCTAATGGTTTTTATTATCTTCACACCACTGATGTGGCAATACTGACAGCCTGGCACTGGCAGCTCCTCAGCACAGCCCACGCACATGAGCAAGGTGCGGTCTGGAAGAGGCCAAGGCCAGGCACTGACACCCACACAGCACAGCTCCCAGGGAAAGCAGCCTCAGCCCTTCGGAGAAGGAAGAGAGACCATCAGCATCCACCTGGGGCCAAGAACTCACACAATCAGACAATCGTTCAGGTTGGAAAATCTTGGAGATTGGATTGGAGATCACAGAGTTCAACCCCAGCCCATCCCCACCGTGCCCACTGACCCTGTCACCACATGCCACATCTCCATGGTTCTTGAACACTCCAGAGAAAGCAACTCCACCACCTCCCTGGCAGCCTGTGCCAAACTCCTGCTCTAGCTTGAGAGCCAAGCACTGGGCACATCCAGCTCCAGCACCTCCAGGGCCAATGAAGAAAGCCCTGGCAGAGCTGCAGCAGATTCATACAGAAGATCCCAAATGGAGATCCCAGCTGGAGACACAGTTCACAACAGCTCCTCGTCCTTTCTCCTTTTTTTTAAATCATCACGGGCAACTTTTGGCTATTCTGTTGTTCCTTAGCTTACTGGTAACCTCACCAGGTCGGTTTTGGGGAGAAAATTTAGTACTTTGTGTAATCATAAAGATAAGTCACACAGCTCACCATGGTCAAACCGCCAGTTTCCCTGTGGGAAGAAGCATGAGTTTGCTTGGCTGTGCAGTGCAGGCTGCTTCCCACATTTCACAACAGGACTGTAATCTCTTCAAATGGAGCTGGGGAGCGTTAGCACAAAGCCTCTGGAAATGGGGCTGTTGTGCAAGGCAGCAGGTAGTTGGCCAAAATGGCGAGTTCAGGAAGCTTTAGCTCAATGCAGGATTGCTCAAGAGACGAAACCAGAGAGACAGAGGCTGGGAAGCAGGCTGTGAGCACCTGATGGAGCTGTGCACATCCCTGTTCACTGCAGGGGAGAGGGACCAGGTGGCCTCTCCAACTTAAATGACTCCATGACTCTAACCAGAAACAAGGATCCCGAGAGAGCAGGTCACACATCCACTGGGACAAGGATCCCTGCAGGTGGGCAGCGCATGGCTGGGCAGAGTTGGTACCAGCCCAACTCCCTGCTCTGTAAAGGCTCCAGAGGTTTTCCAAGTGTTTCCCAGCCCCACAACACCCATGAGCTCTTTGCTCACACACAAAGGACATGCAGCAAAGCCACAGGTCCACTTCTGCCTTCCGATTCCCACCACCACATCCTACCTGCCAGACCCTCCTGTTACTCTGACATCAACCCATAAGAGTCAGCATTTCACGTCCTCCTTCTCCTTTTTTTTTTTTTTCTTCCTAATAAATTGGAAAGCTACAGCCCAGACATCTAATCAATGCCATATACCTACACGAGGCTGCTTTGGGAGTGTGACATTTCCACATAAGCACCCCAAGAGAGAGACGGTCTGAGTAGATAAGGAAGAGGTCCCTTTCAGGAGATTAACCCCCAGCTCCTGCACGGCTTATCAGTGGCCACATGTTTGTTGCTGATGATAGGAATGACACCAGATTTACACCACATTTCTTCTTTTCACTGAAACTCTCAGGGGAGCATCCGTCAGGACATGTGGGCTTCAGGCACAGGAATTCAGCTTCTGCAGGTGATAATTACCCACTAAAACCCTGATGGGAAGCAGTGCAGGAGTGCAGAGCTAGGGCTAGCCTCTTAGGTAATAATAAGCCCACACCACGGAAAAATTCCTCACCAAGAACAGAAGAGCTTTATGCAGCAGGAATGTGGATCAGCTGGCAAATACCTGACATGCCACAAAGCAGGGCTGTGCTGCAGGGCAGTTGCAGGAGCAGGCTGCACTGATCCCCTGGTGAACATCTGGAGATCATGGGACTCAGGCTCATGGCTAAGTGCTTTGCCAAAGCAGCACCTGAAGTCACTCTTCATGTTGGTCACTCAGAAATGAAGTTTTGCTTTGCTCTGTGCACATGCAAACTGTGTACTTCAGACAGAATGGCTCAGGTCAGAAGGGACTTCAAAAGAGCATTTAGTTCCAGTCTCCCAGTTCAGCTGTTTCCCTAGCAGAGCAGCAAGGAACCATCATCTCCTCCTTGAAACACTTGGCAGCTCAGCGCTAGGACAGCAGGGCCTGTCTGGACAACAGAGGAAAGCCCCAGGACAGCTCAAAGGTGATGGAAAAAGTACCCAAAATAGCCAATGGCATCTGCTTGAGTGCCAGCAGGATTAGAGACACTAAAACGTCCTTGCTGCAGGGCCACAGCGCCAAGCAGCGTGCATTACCAACCCTGAAAGCCCTCATTATCTCACAGCACCGCGCTCCATCACTACACACAGACATTATCTCTGGCAATCTGTCACTCATCGATCCAGCCCAGAAATGCCTCCGAGATTGCACTCTGGGGAGATTGGAACCAAGAGCTTCCCAACAAGGCACAGCTGCAGAGCCTGCAATGCTACTGGGCAGGCAGCACCGGCTCCCACCAGCCTGCAGCTGCAACATTCCTTAAAACCAAACCTGCTGCTCGCTGTCGGCCAGTTCATAATGGAAAGCAAAATATCTGCAGGAGAGAAGGAATAATGGAGCATGTGAGGCAGCTCCATTAGCTCCAACAGCGAATGGCACCGCGGTACAAAGTGCAACAGTCTGTGATCAGGCATTCATCCAAGGTCTCCTCTCCAGCACGTGTACCTTTATGGGACATCAGGGGTGAGCAGGCAACGTCCTCGGGTCTGCAACCTCAGCACTGGGAATGGGGGAGCAGGCAAAAGGGAGGCCACATGGAAATAAATATGTTTTTCCTTTAAAACAAATCAAACCTTGTACAAGTGAGAGTGGCAACACCAACCTGGTAGGCTGCCCTCGTGTCATTAGCCCTGCTGCAGTTCTCTAGAAGGTCACGACAAACAACGTTAATGTTAACTGTCCCTTCAAATTAAGTGTGGATCCTCACGAAGTGTGGAATTTGACAAAAAAGAAAGTGTGAAGACAGTACTCTGAGGCAGCACAGGCACAAAATTCCAGGGAAATTGCATTTAGCTAAGCTGTAAGGGACTGGTGAGACCTGGCAGCACTGCTGAGAAGCAGCAACACCAGCAGGTGCTACAAGGACTGCCAGGTAGCACTGTAAAGCCTGCATCATACTTCAGCAGCACACTCTCTGGGGAGGTCACAGAACACTTTCCAGCCTGGCAACGACAGCCAGGTTCAGCTTGCACTGAAATCTGTGGGCGCTGCGGTAGAAAAGAGTCAATCTTAGAACCACAGACTGGTTTGGGTTAGAAAGCACCTTAAAGCCCACTGGGCCCCAATCCTTGCCAGGGACAGAGACATCTCCCACAGCCCAGGTGCTCAATGCTCACATCTTGGGCATTGCCAGCTCGTTTGACTGCAGTCCTTCATTAGCACATAACCTTCTGCTAGAAAGGAACGTTATGGGAGATTGCATCTGTGAAGTCGATACTGTAGCTCAGTGGCCTTTTCCAACAGATCTGTCCCCCTACAGCTCATCTGGCCAACAGAGTGAGCAGCTCATCTGGCCAACCAGGTCCACAGCTTTCCAGTGAGGAAGAGGAGCTGGGCAGGGACCAGCTGGGTGTTTGCAGCATGCAGCACACCTAACAGCAGCAAATTTAGCTCACAGCAGTGCCTGAGACCAGGGCTTGCTGCAACAGTGACATCTCAGCTGTCTCCAGCAGGCATCTACAGCAGCACAGCCACGCTGTAAAGAGAGACAACTCCCATCATCAAGTCTCCAATCATGAACAGGCCTGAGTGAAACTACTCTGCTAAAAAACACCTTAACTGAGCCTGACACGTTCATTTGGGAAAAGGGTTAAAGTAAAGGCCAGTTCTTACAGAAATGCAGGTATAAATAAGTGACGGTACAAACACTGACTGCTCAGGAAGAATTCACATGTATCACACACAGACCTGCAAAGTTATAACGTGAGAGTGATTCAGAGACCCGAAACCAACAGGACAGGGTCAGCTCACTGCAAATGTAATCTCTTCCCTCAACTCCCCCGAGCAAACTGCATTGTTCTTCTTATCACTCCTTCACAGGAGTAATCTTCGTGTTGGAAGCATCAGACAGCAAAGCACTTTGATTTGCATTGCACATGTGCTCCAGCTAATCCTTCTGTTCTCTCACTTCTCAGACTCTCCCCCGAGAGAGATGACACCACCACCTATTAAAAGCACACACTGGAGCTGTGTAATGGGAAATTTCACCATCTTAAGGAACACACCAACAAATAAGATTCTGCTTTTAGCGCAGCCAAGGTTCCCATACTGAACAGCTGAATCTCCAACCTACATTTCCTCCTCTGGGAAATGCTCTGCAGGGGAAATGCATGCTCAATACCTGACCAAGAGTTAAAGCTTCACATCAAAATGCTGTTTGCTCAGTCCATTTTAGTTAACTTAAGTCTGAGCCCTCAGGCCATTTATCTCCTCCTAAAAGAAGGTGAAAACTGAGTATTAAAAATAAAACCAGCTGTCTAGCAAGTACCAAAACCCATCCCACATTTAGAGTGCACCATCACTGCACCTGGTTCCTCAGTATCTTCTCTGCAAGCTGAAGCACTGCTGAGACTCCCAGCAGAACAGAGCAGGGAGGGTCAATGCAATCCTTCAGCTCTGGGAGGTCACCTGGATTCCACACCCAGAGCATTCCATAGCTGTAAGAGAGCACTCCACAAAAGCTGAGAGATGCATTTCAATCCACAGGTGAGAGGGGTGTTCTGGCACTGGGAATGGCCTTGCCTCCTTGGTTCTTAGTGTCCTCATTTTATGCTACATGTAATCCTTCCCTGACTTGCCACAGGAAGGAAATTGGTGCTTGTGGCTTCTCAGATGGCTCAAACCCTTGTCTTTGCCCAGAGGCCAAAAGCAGCACACAGGCATCCTTCTGAATGTACCTGGACACAGATACCAGAGGACTTTCCTCCCCAGAGCACTACTGAAACTGCATCCACCGGTCTGGGCTTGTCTACCCGGCCTGCAGTTACCAACCTGTGCAGGGAGACTTACCAGCTTCTGTGCTACAATGTTATAGTGACTGAAGGACTGGACCAGGGCCAGGAAGCAAACCTTACAGCCAGCTGGGGAAGAAGACAAAAGACACATTGTTATTATTTCACTTGTAAACTGCCATTATTGTGGCACATAAATCACAGCAGCCAGGCTATAAATCTGCCAGCAAAGGCCTTCAAGGGAGGAAAGTCTAGGCAGCCTCTCACTTGCTCATAGCTTGGAATGGAATAGAATGGCTTTCCATTCTTACCTTTCTATGGGTTTTCCATTCCTGCCTTTCTTTGAGCTTTCCAATTTAGTGAAAGTTGTAGCCAGGTTAAAAATAAACAGAAGGAACAAGAAAGAGATGACAAACAAAAATTAGAAAGCCTCTTTTCTGTCCCATGCCATTCTGCCCAGGGATCTCCCTGCACTGTTTGTTGGTACAACTGCAAGGAGGCCAACGGCCGACCAGACATGAATTACTGAAATCACAGGCATGCCAAGAGTCCCTGTTTTGGCTCTCACAGGGCAAGTGACCTTATTTGCAAACACACACAGAACCAGCAATTTTCACAAAGATATCTCAATAGAACATGATTTTGGAAAACCCAGCGCATGACAACCTGGCCTTGTGGTTTGGTTCAGACCCAAAGCAGTGCGGCTGCTTCTGCCAGCCAGAGTGCAGGACACAGATTACAAGTGGCAAGGTCTGTGGCCCCAGATTACAAGCAGCAAGGTCTGCGGTGCCAGCTGGGCCTTCCCAAATGTTTTGAGCACCAGCTGAGCACTGGGTCAGGGGCAGAATGGGGCTGAAGGTCAGCATGGCAGGCTGTAAAGGAGCACTGCCCCCTGATCGGCCCACGCTGCTCACTCCCTGCTCAGCGCGTGCCTTCCTGCAGTGTCTCTCTGTTCAGTACACTAAACCAAATCTTAAAAATGAATGAAGCTGCAGCTGAGGAGGTGGCAGTTATGGGGGGGGGGCACACACAACACTCCAAGCTAAATTTCAGTCTGAACAGGTTTAGCAGCAGAGAACTGGAGGAGTCCATGAGTGGCCGCTCTACAGAGGCTGACAGGCTATTCAGGGCTGGAAGGTTAGCAGCAAAGCAATTAGGCAGTTTGCCAGCAAATCTATTTGTTTGTTTGTTTACTCACTGCTATCTTATCTATCTGCCAGTTGTTCCTGATAGTTACAAAATGTTGTGAAATGTTCAGTAACAAAGGACCTGCACATGCCCAGGTGATTTATGGTCTTCACTGCACTAATGACATCACTGCACAGAGATGAAAGGCTAGAGAGCAAGGCCTAGGAACAAGTCAGGACTGGGACCCAGAAACCCTGACACCAGTTCCCTGCACTGATGGGAGGATGCCCTGCTCTCCGCAGAATCAGCTCTAGCAGAAACACTTCGTGGAGAAGGAGCTTCCAAGGAGCAGGTGAAGACAAACCCCTGCCTTGCAGAGTCCTGCTGCTCACCCACCTCTGAGGTAGAAGGAGAGGAAGTGGTGCACCAAGAAGCTGCCATCCGTTCTGCTGTCTCGCAGCAGTGTGAATTTACCCTGGAAAAGAAGCAGCAAAGAAACTTGAAAGTGAGTGAAGATGAGGGTATGAACAGCTCCTGGCTCTGTGCCTTGGGAGACGATGCCTGCAGTCAGGGGAGGCTCTGCAGGTACAGAAGTTCGACTCAATGATATTTATGGGTCTCTTCCAAATCTGGATATTCCATAATTCTATGACACCAGAGGAGGAAGGGCACAAGCAGCTCCCCAGCCACCATCCAGGCTCACTGAGACATGCCATGTTCAGAGCAGAAAGCCTCAGCACCTCAATGTCTTTACAGGAGCAGAATACTGCACAGAGTATACTACCTTGTTTTGATCAGGCAGGAAATGAATTCAGTTCATCAGTGCACACTTGTTATCAGTACTAGACTCATCAAGGCATTTGTTTCCATTAAAATTTTAGTTGAGATTTTCCTCTAATCAGTACAAAACATAAATGGGTTGCTTTTAATCACTAAACTTATTGCATTTTTTTTTTCAATTTATTACAAGAGAAAAAAAGCTCTTTGCAGCAACAAGCAATCTGTCCATAGGTGATTTGTAAGGCATCTATCTGTTAACACCCCGATGCATAACGTGTTGTAAAGCGGTGCTAACAGAATGGCAATTATTCAGTATGTCTGCAGGGAATGCAAAATGAAGTTTAGGGTACAGAAATGCTGCTTTGCCCCAGCCAGAGAGAGCACTTTTCCACCCAAAGCAGAGTGGAGGCCCCACACAGTGAGAGGCTCACAGGGATGTCAGTATTGTAAGCCTAGAGTGGTCCCTGGGTTGGAACAGCACAAGATCCTCACTTCTGTGTTCAGTCCTCCATGAGTTCCTCTCATCCCCTCGGACCCTCCTCCTGCACGCTGTGAGTCTGAATGCAGCCCCACATCCCCTCCTCACGCACAGCAAAGTGAAGCCTGCCTGCTTGGAAGGCTCTGCACTTTGCCACCACATGCTGCGCAGGACTCAGTGGGATGCTGTCATGGAGTGCACATGTAATTTACCTCCTTCAGAACTTCCAGTTATTGACCTTCAGTCTTGATGATTCTCACTTTGCTGTCGCACTGCAGCTGCTTAGTACTCAAAACTCTCCATTTCTGACGTTTCCATGCCCAGCTAGCGAGTGATAGAAATGTCTGAACCGTGCACCTCCTGCACTGCTGGCTCTGCACCCGGAACTCCTGGAAATATTGGAGTCCTGCCTGCCTTCCACCCAGTCTGCACACCCTTCCCAAGCCCAGGAAGACTCTGCTCAGCATGTATGTAGCACTTCAAGGGAAAGACTCCTGCAGTGCCTTCTCCTTCTGTCTGCCCAGCCTGTTCCCTCCGCACTCCGCTTTCACACTCTGTCCACCTGCAGGTTACAGAGCAGAAGCTGCAGCTACGTGTTAGAAACTGCCAACATCGACTGGCAGGGCAGTGCAGGAGTGACAGCATTTGGTGGTGACATGACAGTACACCCACACAGGCAGCAGCTTCTTCCACCTACCAGCCCTGCAGTCAGCTCTTTGAAAAATCACAGAACTGTAGAATCATCACATTTGGAAAAGGCCTTTAAGGCCACTGAGTCCAACTGTCAGCTCATCCCCACCATGCCCACTGTCCATGCCCCCAGATGCCACACTTCTATGGTCCCTGACCACCTGCAGGGATGGTGATTCCACCACCTCGCTAGGCACTGTGCCAGTGCCTGAGCATTCTTTTGGAGGAGAAGTTTTTCTTAACATCCAACGTAAAATGGCACAGGCTTAACCACAGACATGCAGAAATGATATGGCAGAGATGGGAAAAGGAGACCTGCAAAGGGCTGATGCTTTTTCAGAATAATTTCTGGCATGCATTGATAGCCCAGGAGTGGCAGGATGCCCAAGTGGGTGGATGGAATTCCATGTCCTCAGTTGATGGAAGGAGGAAAGAGCCAACACAAATCTGAGTCTTCGGTTCAGCACTGCTTCCAGATTCTACCCACGCTGCCACATCAAAACTCAGGATTTTGAGGCATAACCTCCTTCTGCTCTGCTGAATTCCCATCCTGCACCTGCGTTCATTGAGCCCATCTGCTGGCGTCACACAGCATTATCTAACAATTAAACCCTATATCTGAGAGCGGTGTCCCAACATTCCATGAGCTCCAGCAGCTCAGGGCTGTGCCTGCTGCCCTGAGGAGCTGCTCCATGTCCACTATCCTGTGGGGCACAGCCTTTCCCTCACCCCCCTCACCCAACCCTCCCCTGACAGCTCCATGCTGTTTCCTTGGGCCCTCTTGCTGTCACAGAGAGCAGAGCTGCCCTTCTGCTCCCTGTGAGGATCTGTAGAGCCAAGAGGGGCTGTAGAGCACCATGAGGCCTCACCTCAGCCTCATCTACTCTGAGCTGAACAAGCAGCTCAATGGCCTCAAGCTGTGCCAGGGAATGATCAGGTTGGATACAGGGAGAAATTTTTTCTCCAAAGAGCAGTTGGGTGCTGGCACAGCTGCCCAGGGGTGGGGGATCACCATCCCCAAAGGTGTTCAAGAACTGTGGGGATGCGGCGCTGGGGGACGTGGGCTGTGGGCACGGTGGGGGTGAGCTGACAGCTGGACATGATGATTTTAGAGGTTTTTTCCAAACTTAACGATTGTGTGATTCTAAACCCAGGGACCTCACATGTTCTCAACCAAAACCCTCACTCTGTCAGGGTGTGGGGGCTGTGGGGTGACAGACCCCAAACACCCCATCGGAGCTGTGGGGAACTCTGTTTTACGGCTGTACAAAACAAATGGCCACTCCAGATATATGCTTTTATTGCCTAACATAGCATGTATCAGGAAATACATCCCGTTCTCTGTAACACGTGGAGGCGTCTTCTTAACGTTTGACCCAAACGTTTCACAGCTCCACACGGAGCTCAGCCACCACAGCATTCCCTCAGCACCAAAACTGCAGGGACAAAACACTTCCATACAGCCTCCTAAAGGCACAGAGATATTTTCTGCCGGAGATGCTGTGGATGCTCCATCCCTGCAGACTTCAAGGCTGGATCAGGCCCTGGGCAACCTGATGGAGCTGTGCTGTCCCTGTGCATGGCAGGGGAGCTGGACTAAATGGCCTTCACAGGTCCCATTCAGCTCGAAGGGTTCTCCTCGGAGGGGCAATGCTTTCACACTCCCTCCTTTAGCTCTGTCCGCCGCACAGATCCCAGCGAGCTCTGTGAAGGGACGTTCCCTCCTCATGGCGCCATGGTCGCCTCCCGCCCGTACTACAACTCCCGGCGTGCCCCGCGCCGCCGCCTTCCCGCCTTCCCACCCTACAGCCCACCGCCTACCGCCCCCTTTCCGCCTTCCCGCGCCGCCGCCGCTTTCCCGCCTCCTGCCCTCACCGTGTCCGGGCGCTGCGGGGCGGCGTCCAGCAGCTCGTTCAGCTCCTGCAGCATGGCGGCTGTGTGTGCGCGTGGGGGGGGAGGGGGGGGTAAGACCAGAGTCGCGCATGCGACGGGCGGGGCCGCCTTCTCGCTTCCAGCCCCCCCACCCCCGCCATGTTGTCCTGGTGGGCGCAGTGAGGGGACGCAGTGAGGGGCACGCTGAGGACAGAGGGACAAACTGAAGGCATACACTGAGGGGACACGCTGAGGGACTGAGAGAATGCCTGAGGGACGCTGTGAGGGATGCCCTCAGGGACAGAGGGACGCGCTGAGGGGACGCACTGGAAGGCTGAGAGGACGCGCTGAGGGACAGGGACACGAGCACGGCCCTGCTGTAGGAAGGGCCTTTCGCTCTGCTCCAACCCAAGCATTCGGTTGTTCTGCGATCCCCACCTCCCTCTGCTGGCAGCGCTGCCTCCCCGCCGCAGCTCGGACGCCGGTGCAGGACAAGGGGAAATGATTGGAAGCTGAGGGAGGGCAGATTTCAGTTGGATGTGAGGGGGAAGTTGTTTGCTGTGAGAGTGGTGAGGTGCTGGAACAGCTGCCCAGAGAGGCTGTGGATGCCCCGTCCATCCCTGAGGTGTTCAAGGCCAGGTTGGATGGGGCCCTGGGCAGCCTGGGCTGCTGTGAAATGTAGAGGTTGGTGGCCCTGCATTGGTGGGGGGTTGGAGCTTCGTGATCCTTGAGGTCCCTTCCAACCCAACCATT